CGGGCAGCAAATTGCAATATCACCATATTTGGCTCCAGTAAAGGTGCGAATTTTTGTAGAATTCCTCATATACATGTACTTAATTAGATTGCAAAAATTTTGATGAAGTTTTATTTAATAAAAGATTGATCAAGTAATACGAGTCAATCCTTATTCTAGATTTTCTTATTTGCTCGAATGAACAATTATTTTTTTTATATAATTTATACTTTTTAAGAAGGATCGAGTATATATTTTCTTACTGATTTTGCTTACATTTTACATTTTTATATTTTTATTCAAACAAGGTGGAATGTATTTTTTAAATTTATATGCAAAACAGAAAAATTCAATTTACCACAGTTTTACGAGAATGAACCTAATACTTCTTTATCTTTCGTTGGACTACGCTAAAATACAAGCGTCTAAAATTTCGCATTATCGCTTTAGGGCAATAAGCTCCTTACAAGCTCAGTCCGCAGATCCATAAAATTGCAAAAGGAAAAAACCGGGTCGGATTCTCTAAGACAAGGTGATCTCCTGGTAGAGCTTAACCGAAACACATGCCGAAAAAATGGTTTTTTTAATAAGAAAAAAAATGTATTAGTATTAAAAGTAACATAATACAATTTATGAAAGAAAAACGAAGTGACAAATTTAGCACATTACGTATTTTGCATAAAAATACTTATACTGAATAGACTGTATTTTAATATAATAATGAAGAGAGGATACATCAGAAAAACATATAATTATAAAAAGTAACCAAGTTGAATAAATGAATATCGAACCAAATAATTAAAATTAACGACATGGAATTGAGCAATCAAATCAAATGGAAGAAAATAATATTAATATATCAGTAAGCAGTCATATTGAAACATGTTGCCAGAATAATTCATGTGTGCAATTTAATGATGGACATTTACTCGCCTGATTTAAGCGATAATTTTTAAAATTTGAGTATTGTTTTATACAAATAGTAAAAACTGAAAATATAGACTTTTTATATATTTGGTCACTATGAGTAGCCAAAATTTTAGTTAGTTCAGAATTTTGGTCATTTGAGTTTAATTGTTCGTTATTTTAGAATTGTAAAAAAGAATATTGTAGATTCTTAGACTATTACAGTTCATGATCTGGCTTTTGAATGATAGGGAAGACTGGGCCACCTTGAGAAGCATGCACCATAAGAGATTTACAACAATTTTTAAATTATGCCCTAGAAATGGCATTCAGTTCCACAGAGACAGAGCATACGCCCGTAAAGCCGGGTACACACATGCCAGTCTGGCAAGCACAAAACAAATTTGCTAGTAATTGGCATGCCAGTAGCTTCCGGTATAAGCAATTCCCTGCTTTATGACCAACGGCTTCGGTGGATTAGTCGGTAAATAGTAGGACACTCTTTTGTCCTGGAGCTGAGAAATCGACTCCAAAGGCGGAAAAACCAATAAATTGGTCAACGGCAGAAGAATGCAGAAGGCAACGGGAAACCACTGCATTAAAGGTTCAACAGAACATCCCTAGTCATTCATCATGGCAAATACGCAAAAAAGTCAAACCGTTACTGATCATGGAATCCGGAAACCAAGATCCAACAGGGAAGGAAAAGATCATGTAAAAGACGAGGCCTTCCAGGTCGCTAGCAAGCAAAATCCTCGTTTAGATAATAAAATTCCACGTCTAAGAATACACAAATGTAGACCAATAAGACTTGCAACATGGAATGTAAGAAGCTTGTACCAGCCAGGAAAATTAGACAATTTAATACAAGAAATGACCAGAATGGAAATAAATATACTGGGCATAAGTGACGTACAATGGCCAGACACCGGCAAACTTATAACCAAAAACGGCATGATGTATTATGCTGGAAACAACGATCCGGCTCATCGCTATGGAGTCGCAATCTTGTTAGACACAGAAACTAATAAATCAGTTATAAGCTTCACTCCTTACTCAGAGAGAGTGATAATGGTTCAGCTGAAGACAAACATACAACAAGTTAACTTAATTCCCAAAGCATTAATATTTTGAAGACACTGTCGAGCATTAACTGGGGCAGCGATACGGCAACTCTTCTACGAATCTTTTCATCATTAGTTCGATCAAAAATTGACTACGGCTCAGTGGTATATAACTCAGCCAAGAAATCTGTTCTTAAAGAACTAGATGTAATCCAAAATACGGGACTGCGAGTCGCTTTGGGTGCCTTTCGAACAAGCCCCATACTAAGTATATGTAGTGAATCAGGGCAAACCCCTTTAGAATTTAGAAGAGATTTTTTAAGTTTGTCGTTTGCTTGTAAAGTTCTATCCTCTCTAGATAACCCAGTCTACCATAACGTTCACAGCAATCGTTTCAGCCACTACTTCTCATCTCATCCTCAATGTAATCCGCCTTTCTATGAACGAATTAACCGATTACTTCATAAATATAGCATACAATTCCCGTCAATATACCATCCTTCCGAAAACCCTCCTCCTCCATGGACTGTAAATAAACCACCAGTAATTACTGATCTATCAAAATTTAATAAACATGAATCCCCACCAGCCATATTAATAAACAACTTCAAAGATATTATGGATAGATTTAGCGACTACCGACAGATCTACACAGATGCATCAAAAACAACGGACGGAGTCGGCGCAGCCATTTTCTGTAATACTCATAATGCTAAATTTAAGTTGCATAACAACTGGACTATCTCCAACGCAGAACTATACGCAATCCTTGAAGCTCTAAAATTCATTAACACAACGGACCAGAGAAATTACACAATCATAACTGACTCAATGAATGCCCTTTGTGACATCAAAAACATATACTCCAGCAATCCTATTCATAAAGACATTTACAAAGAACTTCAAAATGCTGCAAAGGAAAACAAACATGTGGTATTAATCTGGGTTCCATCTCATATTGGAATACACGGTAACGAGGTTGTGGACCGTCTAGCTCACGAAGCAGCGACAAGTGATGGTCAAGTGCAATTAAATAAAATAGTGCCAAGTGATCTTAAATTGTGCTTAAAAAACATAGTTAGTTGTGCGTGGCAAAACAAATGGTCGCAGTGTTCCGAAAAACTAAGGCAAATTAAAGACAATGTTTTACAAAAACAAGCCTTTGTGTTACCTAGGAAAAAACAAGTCATCTTTTCTCGACTTCGAATTGGTCACACCCGTCATACACATCTTTACCGAATTACAAGAGACAATCCTCCATACTGCAACCAGTGTCAAACCAACAGTACAGTTAAACATATTTTAACCGAATGTCAAATTTTCCAGGAAACCAGAAGTAAACTCAACCTTCCCAGCGACATAGGCGAGCTTCTTAGAGACAATAATAATCTACACAATATTATAAAGTTTTTAACGGCTATAGGCATAAAAGATATTTAAATTAATATCTAGTCTGTAGTTATATTACATATATCAATCTTCTTTAATGTATATATCCGGTTTTTTAGGCGTTACGCCCGTCCGGTAGGGATCTATGGAGGAGTATCACCAACCGCAAGCCCTTATCTCTTGCCGTACTGCTCCACCATAGGCCGATCAGATCCCAGCATATCCTAGTCTAAGCCGCAGATTCATTTAGAATTTTAAACTGCTGCGTTAGACTTTTTGTTTTCTGTACACCGAGCTGGGGCTCGAACCCACATCCACTGAACCATTCGACAGTGAAGCGAATGAGAGGCAGCCGCACAGCCCGCTGAGCTATCTGACCGACTTCTTTAATGTTAGTACGTAATTATTATTAACCTTTCTTTGTTATAATATGTATTTTCCATTGTTGTCGTCTATAACTCCAGTGGTTCGGACGACATTAAATAAATTAATAATAAAAAAAAAACTTAATTCAAGTATACGCACCAACAGCGGATAAAGATGAGGACGATATAGATTTAGACACTCTAGCATTAATGGAAGAGAGGAGAAAAGCCAAAGGGAGAAATAAGCCAAAATATCAAGAACTACAAAGTAGAATTAAAGTAGAGATAAAAAAGGCCAAGGAAAAGTGGTTAACAGATCAATGCATAGAAATAGAAGAGTATGACAGAAAATACGACAGCTTTAATATGCATAAAAAAATAAAAGAACTAACAAATACCAAAAAGCGAGCACACTATAGGATACTCAAAGATGATAATGGTAAACTCATTACAGACATCAAAGATAAACTAAGATTTTGGCAAGAATACATAATGAAACTATTCGACGATGATAGAATGATACAAGAAGAACCACAGGAACAAACAGGACGAAAATAATAAGTGCGAATTAGAACAGGCAATTAGAAATGCAAAGACCGCAAAATCAGTAGGCCCAGATCAGATACCCACTGAGCTAATTAAATGCATTGACGAAGAAACACTGCATATACTTTTAGATCTGTTCAACAAAGTATATACAACAGGAGTAATACCCGAAGATTGGTTGCTGTCCACGTTTGTAACACTACCAAAGTCAGTACATGCGACAGAATGCTCCCAGTACAAAACAATTTCCTTAATAAGCCACACACTTAAGATATTTCTCAAAATAATACATGAAAGACTATACAAAAAAATAGAAGAAGATATAGATGACACCCAGTTTGGATTCAGAGGAGGACTAGGAACGAGAGAGGCTCTGTTCGCTTTTAACGTTCTCGCGCAAAGACGACTAGATATGAACCAGGATCTCTATGTCTGCTTTATAGATTATCAAAAGGCTTTTGATAGAGTACGACATCAGAAACTGAAAGAAATTGCAAATTATATACCGTTTAACGCTTCTCAGGCGCCATGTAAGGACTTACAGATTAAACATGTCTCACTTCTAATTTTTAATTTAATATTAAAGCTTAGTAGTAAGTCCAAAAATGTATGTAATCAATTTTGGGACAATATTTGCCAACGTGTGGTCTTTTTAAAAAATTGCAACCTTATTGTTTTAGCCTAATAAACCAAATATATTAGTTTATTAGGGTACGTTCTGTCAAAATATATTATTAGTTTAAAAATTTACCTGGTGGTTCTCCAGTATCAATAACTACACCATCCACGCTCGGGCCAAAGGCAAAGGCAAATTCTGGCTGATGTAAAATTGGGGTCGACAATAATAACTCTACAGGTTTCTCTCGAAGGCACTTGAGTAAATGAGCATGGGGCAATTCAGGTGAGCAGTTTGCGTGAATCGCTACTTGAGCTGCAAATCTTGACGGTTCTTGTATCAGTGCCCATGGTGATAGTGCTGATCCTGACATTAAAATGGCACGGTGGAAGAGGACACCTGAAATCAAGTTTGCCTTGTTTAATTTTTATTCTCTTGAATATAGTAAATGTAAACAAAAAAGCTTGACTAGTGTTAAATGATCCTTTTTTACTATAACTATGTTAGTAATACATTAAGTAGATACTTTGTTTTTATGTAAAATTAATTTAAGTAAGTAATAAGTAATGTAAGTATAAGGTGCTACGATTTCTACTGCTAGTGTTTTAACTAAAGTTGTAATACGCAATGCATGAGGACGTATCGAGATAGCGTCAAGTAGCCCCTTATGGTCAATTCTAACTCTGGCCTCCATGTGGTGAATCCTGGAAATCTGAGCAACCTTGTGGAGAACTATGGTCACCAATCCAATTGGAGATAGGGCCAGGGCTAAGAATAGCGGGGGGAATGGTTCTCAGTAAAGGGAGTTATGCTAAGAACCAGAAATTCATACATGTAAGAAACTTAAAACTACAGAACAGAAACCAGTGCCTAGGAACTGAACGAATACTTTCTATAAACAAGACAAGTAAAATACTGTAGTATTTTGTTCTACACGCTAAAAGCGTATGACATGTGGAGAAAAAGAAGACCAACAATATAAAGTAAGTCCAAAATATGATATAAAAATATTGATGCTCATTGCAATGTTTATTAAGAGAGAAAGTGAGAAGACATAGCCTATACATAATAATGGACACTGTTAACACAATTTGCAATATCTAATAACGTAGTCAATGAATTCAGCCGATTTAGAAAAAAAATTACAGGCTCACATTAATTCACGAAACATGAGAGGAGTTAGGAGCCGTAAGTGATCACTTTTTGATTAAACCTACGTTGAGAATACAAATATCAGTACCGAACCAAGAACAAAAGAAACAAAGAAAAGGAAAGGAGAGTAGCCATAAGCATAATGCTTCAAATTGCTAGTAAGTGTAGAGAGCAAAAATAAAGTTAGAGTAAGAGCAAGCAAGGTAGCAAATAGCAATAGTTATAAAACAAAAAGCAGAGAAAACTATTGGTAAAAAGTTTGTAAAGAAATAACATAAAATGAAAATAAACACTTACAAAAGACTGAGAATACTACAACATCCTATAGATGAAAACATAGCACATTTTGGGAAACTAGTGTATAGACAAGACGACTAACTAAAAGGAAGAGCTACCTCGAACATTAAATGTAAGAAATATGCAAAGTACAGAGATTAGCCAGGTAAGGAAATTCTGAGTAAAGAAAAAACAGTAAGATAAGATAGCAGTTTGGAGAAACATAAGCAATGAAAAATAAAATAGGAGAACTTTTATTGACGAAAATATAAATACGTAGACGTAGAACTAGGAAGGAATTATTTTAGAATTTACTAAATACTGAAAGTGAGACAAAGATATTAGATTTCATTAGGCAGATATGGAAATACCACCACAATAATTAAAAAACACAATAACATCTCTAAAAGATTACAAATCACCAGGAATTAAACTAAAATGTATAGAGAATGATATGAGATCGTTATCGTACCCATATATAAGAATAACAATAAAGAATAATTTAGAAACTATAGAGGCACAGCGCTTATTAGCACAACATAAAAAGTTCTTGTCATTATCGGGCTAAAACTCACTTACTTACTCCTAACGTGAAAGATATGACCATTTAATACTAACCAATGCTATTTTCCTGCTGGAAAGTCAACAATAGATCAAATATTTATCATTCAACAAATATTAGAACAAAACTTGTCTTAGCTTTCTTAGCATCCCATGTGTGATAAAGAATATATGTATAAATAAGTAGAGTTTATGAATTAATTCAGTAAAAATAGAGTATCGCGGTGTGAGGTGAAGGTAAGTGCGTAGAACTAAGAGAAACTCAAATCAAAATTACTGATAGTTATAAATATCTCGGTATAAACAATTTAAGTGAGGATCAGAATGCAAAAAGCAGCTAGAATTCTTTTTCTTCCTCATCTTTATAAGCAATTCTTCTTCTAGCGGATTAGCACCTTTATGAAAGGTTGTCATTGCATCTTTTGCGCGATCGTCCGATGCTTCTTTTGCCGATTTTGCCTTAACTGGAATTGACTACGGAAAGTCAACAATTATGTTAACAAAATATTATACATTGAAATAATCACATCACTAGAAACAGGAAAATTAAGATAGACAAAAGTATCATAGAAAGTATGTGGATCTTAACCAAGCGCATACCAAAGGAAAGACCAATAAAATCATAGAGACAAGAAGTAGAATCCTACAAGCAGCTGACTGGAAAGATAAGGATGCGGGAAACTACAACAGCTATAATAAAACTCTGTAAAACTCTGTGAAACTCTGTGTCTACACTGTCTGAAAACAGTGTAGACCAGCATTTCTCAATCTTTTACTAGTTGCGACCCACTTATATATAATTATTTTCACGGCGCCCCCCCTCATTATATGAAGGACCGATTGTACGGGGGGGGGGGTGGTGATGTAAATGATGAACTTTTTTCGGTGGTATCAAAATTTTTTGAAGGTACCTTGAACAGTAAATTTACTGTTTGTATTTTGAGAACTATTTCCGAAGTGGAAATTGAAACGTCAATAAACGTATTTTTATCTTTAATTGTGGCTTATTCCCAGTTAAATACTAATTAATTTAAAATGCCACAAGAAAATAGCTTCAGAACAATATTGGTTGACATATTCGAGAAACTCAATATTTTGAACATTCAGCTTCAAGGAGCCAATACACATATATTGAATACGAGTGATAAAGTTATTGGTTTTTGTAAAAAATTGATATTGTGGAGCAGAAATTTAAAGCAAAAAAACCTAGAAATGTTTGCCAATGTGGATGAATGTATTAAAACTTACAAGGTTGAAGAACGACATGTGAAAGTTGTTTTTGTAACCATTGAAAATCATTTAGCGATGCTGACTAAAAATGTTAAAAGATATTTTTTTGCCGACGACAAATTAATACGTAGTTACGAGTGGGTTAGGAATCCGTTCCAAATTACTCCGGAAGGGCTCTCTACTGCCGAAGAAGAAACCTTCATTGACTTCACGGCAAATGATGAAATCAAGAACAGTTTAATAATAAATCTCTCTTTGAATTTTGGGCAGCAGTAAATGATGAGTTTTCTGCACTGAAAACCAGAGCGTTCCGTATACTATTGCCGTTTTCAACATCCTACCTTTGCGAAACAGGATTTTCTGCGGTGGCTGCTTTGAAGACCAAATATAGATCGCAGCTAAATATAGAAAAAGAACTGAGAACATCTATTTCTAATATTACACCTCGTTTCGATAAACTTTGCTCTACAAAATAAGCTCAAGGAAGTCACTGATTTATTATTAAACTTTTTCATAATTTAGTGTTCAGTGCTCTTTATAATTATACCTTTTATATCAGTGTTCATGTGTTTTTTATTTTTTATTTTGTAAGAATTTTGTTTTGCTTTGATTTTAGTAAATTAGTCAATGTTGCTGATGTTTTTTTCGAATAAGCTCACGCCCCCCATTAATAATACCGCGCCCTCACAGGTTAAGAATCACTGGTGTAGACCATAAAAGTATGTATATTATATTATAAAGACAACGAGCCCCAGCGTTGCAAAATGGTGGTTAATGCAACTACAATAATAGTCAAAAAAAATTAATGTTTATAACCTTACTCTATATGTGTGGTAACGACATTGAAACGCGTTTATAGAATATAAAATATAGAAGAACAGAAATTAAAGAAATTATTTGCTGGAATGTCAAGAAGTGTTCTTCTTAATAGGAATCCAGATATACCTATTGTAATTACCCACTCTTTACAGAAATATCTAAAATTAAATATATATTAAACTTTGAGGGTATACAAGGCAACTATCGAACACGGTGATTAATTTAATCTTGCCCAAGTACTTTCGATCAATAGATCATCTTCAGGGGCATTTCGTCAATTGTGGCCTATCCGACATAGTAGAATGTCATAAATGTAAAATTTGGACATAACAATACAAAATACAATACACTAAGACAAACAAACACTTTAAAATTTATATGGAGAAGCTACATATTGTATAGAAGCCGGAGACAGAATTAGACAGACATTCTGTCTCCGGTTCTATACAATATGTAGCTTCTCCATATAAATTTTAAAGTGTTTGTTTGTCTTAGTGTATTGTATTTTGTATTGTTATGTCCAAATTTTACATTTATGACATTCTACTATGTCGGATAGGCCACAATTGACGAAATGCCCCTGAAGATGATCTATTGATCGAAAGTACTTGGGCAAGATTAAATTAATCACCGTGTTCGATAGTTGCCTTGTATACCCTCAAAGTTTAATTATTCGAACATTCAACTTATATGAAATATATATTAATATATAGATCATATTAAAATATTCCTTACATGGACACTCTTGTCTCCAAGAAGTCGACAAACTTTGTTTTCGAATTTTAAAAGTGTTTGTGTATACAAGACCTGTGGTCGTCCATTTCTTTTTTCAGGTTGTCAAAAAAAGTAAACAGGTGAGATCCATTTACTCTGACAAATATGCAGTCAAAATATTTTAAGAATTTTAAAAAAATCGCCTAACTGTACCACTATATTTAAGTTCCATATTCGAAAGTGTGTCAGCTAAGATTCACCCAGGGTGAACCGCTACAGGTGGAATAAAAAATGGACGCACACAATTCCAAGTTTGCAAAAGGCATAATTATAAAGAAAAGAGGGCGGAAACTTGGAAGAGGTACCTACAATATCTTCTTATAAGAATAAAACAAAATAAACTATTTACAGATAATAAAATTAATAGTATTCAGTTTCCTTTTCCCTTTATACCACTCGAAGGCAGGCATAACATAACAGCATTGATTTCAGATTTTAACAGGGAAAAGTAAATCACAGTTTTTTATCGGTTTTTCTTAATCAAATTGTAAGATTAAAGTTGAAATTTAACTTATTAAATTTTTTAAAAGGAATTGTACTTATACGTTGAGAACCCGTAAGTTGCATGTTGTGCAGTGCCACAGGGTTCTAAATACATGTTAGCAATAATCTAAAGTAGTCATAGGAAAAGTAGCTTGCAGTTATTTTATTAATAAAGTTCCAAGAAAACTGGTGTGGTTAAAATGTCTTTTTATGATTAACTTTTTTCTATTTATACAGAAACAGTACCAATGTACCAGAAGTTTCCATGTACAATGCCACACTGTTCTAAGTACATTTTGAGATTATTTTGAATTGCTCAGTTTTAATGAAAAAATCAATTTTCATTTTAACGATTTTTATAAGTAATATAAAGAAGTGTCTAATATTAACTTTAAAACATTTATTTAACAGGATAAGTTCGCCGATGTGGACTTACGCGCTAGATCGTCAGAAAATGCTGTGTAGCTCAACAGTGGCTTCTCGAATTCATTTAAAATACACGGGGTACATTTCCATTCCAGCCAGATAGTCTAAAAAGCATACTTGGCCTGTACTTCTCAGATGTCAACGAGGACTGACAGAGCCAATATTATAGATAAGTAACAATGGCATAATTATATATTTTTTTCTTATATATTTATAGTAAGAACACATTTAGGAAAAATAAGCTGTCTTTTCATATAACAAAATGTAATAACATTATATCAAAATTGTATCTAAAGTGCTGATTTAATTTTTTGTCATGGAATTTATGACAAAAGAACAGTCAAGGCAATAAAATTTCTTACAGCTATCTTGGTTGCTATCTGCTGTGCTGTAGTGTAGCTGTAGCCTTCCTTCCTCTTTTATTATTTTTGCGTAGCAAGTTGTATATTGTCTTCTGCCTGAAGACCAACATAGCTGAGCTTGTGACTATTTTCCATAATGACTGGTGTGACAATAAAATCTCCTAACTGGCCCCGACTTACCTCTTCCTTAAATTTGGTAATCGTTATCTTTTCATGCTCTAATGCGCGATAGAGACATTTATAAGTTCTGTGTCAGCTATGAGCTATATCGATATTTTTCTGTACAATTTTATTTCTTTAAGTAATGGCGAATTATAGCTTTTCATTTAATATGATATATCAAATAAGCTTTTTATTTATTATATTCGACGGAATTCTTTGGCTTTACAACATCTCCTTGTGCCTTCTGCATTGTCACCATTTCGTCAGCGAATTTGCACATCAGCACATCTCGCTTGTCCCTCTACTTCTGAACAACAATGCCCGAATGACTTTGTTTAGCTACATGTTCGTCCACTTTTAGTTTTTTGGAAATGACATTTTTGGGATTATATTTGCGATTTGCACGTGGCGTACCAATCATGTATGTTTTTTTTCGGTGTAGGAGTTCATGTGCAAGTGTAATAGAACTGTAGCAGTTATGAGTAGGCATGTTGGGATAAAAATCTTGCTGGTGGTCGCGAAAATCCAACGTGGACGCATATTTTGAAAAATTAAATTTAAAACTACTGAAAACGACAAAAATTAGTTAAAATAGTAATTAAAATTAAAATTAATAATTGTCGGTTAATCTTATGAAAACTTAATATTTAAACTAGACATGCCACAAAAAAAGTAGTTTCAGAACCTTGTTAAATATTAACTAATCTAACTAGTAAATATTATTCTAAATATTTAGAATTAATATGTACTACCATTAACTTTTAAGATTAAAAATGACGCCACATAAATATATATACACACCTGGAACAGAAGTAAGTGGTATAGCGATTTAACTGTCACTGCATTACCACCTTGTATTTAAATACGGTCCTAAATCTAATCTAAATTACTTTTTTTTTCAAATGGAAGGAGAATGAAATTAAACGGCAATATTTTCCTACTTACCAGTTTCAATAGCCCTGTTTAAGGCCATTGTTGCTTTCGTAGCCTAAACTGTTACAGTTAAATGGCCTATTAACATATTAAAGTCATTTATTTTTATAAAACTGAGCGGGTTTAACTACCAAGAAAAAATTAACTGTGGAGAAGGTTACTTCAAAATACGATTAATAAATGAGCAAATGAGGCAATTAACATTTATCTCGAGTATTCTCGGAGAATGAAATTCAGTGGCGGTTTTTAAGGTATAAGTAGAATTGTTTTTGTAAAGCTGAAAATGGATGATAACTGACGACAAACATGATAAACTAATTACTGTATTCAAATTTGGCAAAAGCATATTCTAATTACAAAAATTTTAATTTTATTTAAAGTTCAAATTAACTACTTATATTGTAATATATATAATATTAGAAGTGCTCTATTTAATGTTTTAAACCAGAAACCTTAGGACTTTTTGAAAACTCTAAAAGCATTGAAAAAGCAATATCAGTTCACAGTTAGAAAAACTTATCGAGGTTTTTCTTACACGTATAGATAATGAGCTCATCTATTCTATACATAAATATAAGGTTTATGCATAAACATTTGTATAATTTAAACATACAATTGGGAGAAGAGTCTGTTATATTTTTGCAAAATAGGATTTCTGTGTTTACAGTTATTTTTTTATGTAAACGTTTACGATTTTTTTATGTAATGTATGTAAACGTTCGCCATCATCATCTTTACAATTTCCTGAAATAGTTGTCTATCGGCTGTTGAGCAAAATAATTCTTCTACTGTGGTACCACACCATGTCTAATATTACGCAGCCATAAAAGTTTCTTTCGACCAATTCATCTCTTTCCTTAACTTTTCCTTCTATTATAGGGAAAAGTAGATGCTATTTGGGTCCCCTAATTATTCGGACAAAGTATTCTGTTTTTCTTCTTTATGATGTTTGTAAGCAAGACTTCTAAATTTGTCATTTTAAGAACATCTTCGTTGAAAGTGTGCGAAACCCATAATAATTTTAGGATCCGTTGATAGCACTACAATTCTAATGCTTCTAATTTGTTAAGCATTGTGGTTTTTAATGTTCATGTCTTACAACCACATAATAGGTTGGACCACACATAACATTTCACGACGGTCAGTAATTGTAAGGTCTTGACAGTAACTTAATTCACTGACTAAATTTACTAATGTCTAGAGATCTTGTAAATTTTCTACAAGAACTACCGTATCGTCAGCGTATCTAATGTTGTTGATTACTTCTCCGCCTAGATTTACTTACTTTCGTCCATCATCCAAAGCCTTCCTAAAGATTTCTTTACAGTATAGAATAAAAGACTGGTGACAAAACACAACACTGTTATACTTCACGTTTGATGGGTATTTATTCAGTATGACTATCTGCAAGTTGAATAGAAGCTACGCTAGTGTAATATGTATCGTGTTGTAAGTCAAATGCCTTCTAGAGGTCGAAGAAACAAACTTAAACTTTATTATTTCGAAACTCATTGCAAATCCGTACTGCTCTATACTTAACCCATTCTTCTTTTCGCACAGAAGGAATACTCGGTTTTGAATAATTCGTAAAAGTTTTTTTAGTGTGTAGCTTATAAAACGGATTAGTCTAAATTCGCTGCATTTATTAGACCTGGTCTTCTTTCGTAATATTAGTAATAGTGACTCCAACCAATCATCTAATTTGATTCCTTAGTTGTGAAATTGTTTAAAGAATGTGGTTAAGTAGGTAAAATTGTCCCCTTTCAAAACTTAAAGTAGCTCCGCAGGAATTTAATCTGGTCCAGGTGCTCTATTATTTTTGTCTTGCTTTATTGCTTTTTTGACTTCTGATTTAAGTATACTGGGACCTCTGACTAATTAGTTATCACAGTAAGTATATGTTTAATTTGCTCGAGAAGCATGGTCAAAAAGGTCACCTATGTATCTCTTCCATTTTGTGCACTTGTGCAATTTATTCCAGCGAACTTTTATCAGGTCTAGAATTTTCTGCGTCATCCATTTAATGTTTGCCAATATTTGAGGGCTTTCAAAGACTCTTTTTCTTTCTATGAAATCAAGTTTTGTATGATTTACCAACATTAGTTGTGGATTTTGTTTTCGATTAGTATATCAAATATTTTATGTATTTTTCTATTCTATCTCCTGTCGAATGTGTGCACGTGTTTAAAAGTTTCTAAGGAATTCGAAATATATCTTACTAGGTATGGTTTTTTTTTTAATTTCTTTTTAATATAATTTTTTTAATTTAGTTTGTATGTATTTTTAAGCAGAGTGGATTATAATGTACGTTTAGCGCCAGGGTAAGATATTAAATATTTATTATTGTTTTGAAATTGGTGGTTTATTAAAATGTAATCTATTTGATTCGTAATATTCTTCTTTGTTGTTTATCTTTAGTAGCTTTTCACGCGTTGAGTAGATTTGTCAGCAGACTAAGTTCATATAAAGTTGACAAACTTCATGTATATGTTAGATATATACGGGTTTTTCATTTTCATTTAATGTCCGGTGATGTTTTGTTCACAAAGATTTCACTGGATAGCGACCTGCGAAGCCCTGTGGTTTGTGTATTTATTCATCCTCTGTAGGATCTTAAGTTCCGTAGCCCATGATCAGTAATATTATTCGTTTTACTCATTGATGCCATAATGACTTTATTTGGGAATATAATGGGGTCGTTTTCGGTTGCCTTCCCTATCGCAGTGTTTTAGCCGTATTAATTTAATATAGTAATTGTCGATTAAAAGTACCTGTATAAAGCTGTTTTGCCAAATTCATCTACACCCTAACAAAGCAATGAAAATGCTGCTACCATTTTCATGAACTAGTTTTGGTCCATCCCGAGTATTTCATTTCCTTGGTCTTACTCATATCTTGGAGGCATTCCCTTATTTGCCACATGGGGAGGCGCCTGGTAGTAAATTTGGAAACCACATACAAATATGATATATACAGTATGGTAAATACACACTAGTCCAACCAGATTATCAAGAATTATTTGATCAGGTATCCTTTTGCTTTGAATAAATTGATGTAAATATTGTGCCGTTACTAAGATTTAAAATAAATTTTATAGAGCATTTACCTTTTGTTTCATATTTAGTCATATTTTGTCACTTATATTTAGTCTTGTTATATATAACCTATATATGACTTGTGTTTACATGCCTCAGATTATCGAGAGTACACTGTAATGGACATTTTTACAGAAACGCAAGTATTCCTTATTTCGCACTTCTGTTTATTATCAGGATGCGTCGTTTTCGGTTTTGATAACCTATTTCATAACACTTATTAAATTTTATATTGGCAACACCTATGTGTATGCGATCGAGTATTGGCGAAGTTGGTCAATCCAGGCTCAGTTGATGTAGAGATTTGGGGTGTATTTGGAGAATTATAGAGTTCGACTTTAAATGTTTCTAAAAGGGTAAAAATTCTTTTTCTTGATTTTGGTCGACTTGTTTCTGCTGGTATTTTCTTCTTTAAGTAATATATTGGTGTGCTTTGTCGAATGTTTGATTGTATTTATCTATATATCTACGTACATAAACGTATCTGCGGTATTTTAAGCATACATAACAGTCAATTAAAAGGCCATATTCATAGTCAGTAATTTTTCTACATGCTTAAATTATTAATGAGATGACGTTGGAAAATCTAGATTACCGCATAAGGGACAAGCATTCTGCAAGTTGATTTAATAATGGCTTCTGGACTTACACTCCAGTTGGTTAATGAACAGTTTTAGATAATACTAGTTCTCGTTGTATCGTCTGTTTTGTATTTTAACAGTGATATTTATAAGGCAATGAGCGGTCTAGCATAACCTCAATATATTGACGTTAGTTCTAGATAATGTTTAACCCAGTATGTTATCTACGTGTTTTTAAGTATTCAAGTGTAATTAAGATACTTGGGTCTTAACAGAGATTTGTTTTGGCTTGAATTATTTCTTATTTTATTATGATATTATTTTTTAAAATATAATTTTTTTGTTAATTCTGTTTGTAAAAAAGTGTTTTCTTTTTAAAGGCAAAAAACTGTCATCCGAATACACAAAACGCTCCATTTTAGGCTACATCGGCTTGTTGTTTATTATGTATTAAATAAAGATCAAATCAGAATGCTTCCAGTAGAAGAATGCTTTTTTAAATTCATCATTTACTTTTCTTTTTATTTATGATTATTGTGATGATAGATCCGGGCAGGACCTATTTGTGAGCCCTTCAAATACTTACAGCTCATAAGGCGGGTCCACTATATCACTCCTATAATACGGACTAGGCCCCCAAACTCCTGCTATTTAGCGTTTCTGGCGCACAGACTGCTCCAGGCTCCCATATCTGCTATATTTAGCAGCGGCTCCAAATCTGAGATCTTCATTTGTTCAACGTCTAATCCTTTAGTAACCCTGTCGCCTTAGAGAAAGTCACAAGTGTCACCCAACAAACCTACAGGCGGAGTTATTCTCAAAATTGCTCTCTAAATTGTTTGCAATCACATGATTGTTGTTTATAATAAGATCCACATGTAGTTTGATAGAAGATCGCTGTTGTTTTATCCATTTAAGCTTTAATATTAATTCGGTCAACATCTGTATACGAAAAAGTTTTTACAGATTTTACTGCATTTTGTAACGTTTTTAAACGAATCTTTGTTTTGTAGATAAAAGACACATGAAGAATAATTTGTTCGCAATGATAAATATGCAATTTTTAACAAATTTATTGATTTTAAAATAGGCATACAGTCACTATATAAAAGAGTAAGAAAACATAAATCCTCCGCATTTACTAATAGAGTGCCCATTGGCAAACATTTTTATGATAGATACTTCCTCCAAACGTTTGGTATTGCTTCATTAGGCCCACTCTGGCACGATTTTGTTTGGTTCTAGAGGTTTTGTTCTAATTTCTGAAAAGTTTACCTGCCAGACAGAAATCCGAAAAGTTGTCAGAGAATATAAAAGTCGTTTCTGCTGCTTCTAATTATCTATGAATTTTGCCACAGTAGTTT